AATGAAGAAATAAATGTTTGTAACTTACAGGGTGAAAAATTACTTTGTTTATACTTGTGATGAAGGCTGGAAGTGACTTTTTATATATCGGTTTTTCTTTAGGTTCTTTTATCTTTTTCCTTGTACTTTTTACTCCTTTTTTCTATTCTCTTTTCTTTCAAGTTTAGTTTGTATTAGATTTTACTATCATTATCAAAATTCTTAATACAAATGTATAAAAAAACAAAGCAACTTTCTGTAAGGGATTAGATTAGAAGTGTTATGTAAACTTATCTGTCTCCCCAAACCTTCAAAAGACCCCCAAAGAACAGAAGGAGAAAGTCTGGAACTGAATAAATTAAATTCTGAGGGGGAGGGAGAGGAAGAGTCCCTGGTTCAGAAGGATCTTTATTGTATTATAAGGGAAAAATAAGTGACAGTTTGAATACACAAGAGTGAGAACTAGAATTTATTTATCAGGAAGGTAAAAGGGAGGGAGAAAAGGAAGTTTTCAGATGTGCTAACATTTAAAGACAAGGATTCAATAAAGTAACAGGAAATGAAGTCCAATAATTAAATAAACTAGAAAGACTGGATTTGCTCTTTCGTCTGTTTTATGCCTGCAGGCCACATTTATTTCCTTCTATAAAACAGGACGGCTGAAACAAGGAATTCTTGCTTTCTTTCCTCTTTTTTAGAGCCCCGTTAGCCACCAACCTCTTAATTCATCAGTAATTCCTACAGCTCAAGGAAAGGCTGCCCTCTTGATTTTCCTACAAGGGATCTGCTGAGTGGCACTAAATCCGTCACATCACTTGACCATCAACATTTGTTGCGTGGTAGAACAGAAATCGGTCTGGAATTCCTTTTCCATCTCTCAGATTCATTGAGATGGAACGTTAAGCGTTTTCTGCAAATGAGCACACTTTTCACATTTCTCTAGAATATGGTTTTATTTTGCTTTGGTTTCCATTCTGGGTACACCCTGATCAAAAGCTTATTTTGGAACAGTGACAATGGCCTGGAACCAAGCAGGACTCTTCCACTGGTGGAGATCGCTGCAATTCAGCAGACCCTCCTGGGTGGGTGGGAGCGGGGAACCCAATTTACCCACCCTCCCGTCTCCGAACCCTCAGGACTCCAGCTGTTCAGAGTGCTCTCTCTCCCCCCCCCATCTCTTCAAAACAGACTTTTAAGAAATGCAAACAGGAGGAAGAATGGGGGGGTAGAGAGAATCACTTTCCCACCCTCTTCAGCAAGCGGGAGAATTCTAATGGGAGATCGCTGGATCTAATCTAATTATTTTTCCATCTGTAGGAAGAACAAAAATCCCCATTATACCTTCTGAGTTACAGTTTTGGAAATGCATCTTTTTGTAGAAGCATCTGGTGGGAAAAGAAGGTGTGTTTTTTTAAAGTACATCTTGCTATCTGCAAAAAAAAGAGTTCTACTCTTCAGCAACATAAATAGAGGAAATAAATTTTCATTCATGATCTGCAGTATACTATACAGACATGCAATTCAGAATGAAAGAAAATGTTAAAAAGTATCCACCCCTCCACCCTTTTAGAGTGTATCCCCCACCCGCAAAGAAGATGAAATTTCTTAGAAGGAAATAAATACCCTGTTGAGTTATTGTGGGGCTGCCAGATATTTAGTTAGCAACAGAAAAGAAGAAGATGAAGCGCCTTGGATGGCTCCCAAGAGGGGCTGAGATGACGCAGAACAACAAGGATCCTGGAGGCCATGTTAACACCCATGTCGGCTTCCACAGCCCTAAATCTATAGCGGATGGGAATTTGTGCTCACCAGGAATTCTAGAATCAAGTCAGAGCTGGCTCAAAATCTATTCAAGCAGGATTTAGCCATGCCCGACCTGATCAATTTTATTTTCCTCAAATATTCACTGTTGTAAAACTGGCTGACTAGTAGTAAGGCTTGGCAACTTTTCCCTTCTTAATTTGCAAAAATAGAGGCGCATCTGCCATAACAGTACACGGGTCTTGTACGGACCCTCTATGGGCTTTATAGCTGCAGACACCGCCTGTTAGATCTAGATAACACTGGGTCAGATCCTAGCACGACGTTGTCCTCCTCCTCCTCCTCCAAAATCTCTGGTTTCCAAATTGGCTAGTTGAGCCTCTGTGCTTACTGGCGAGTGATGGTCAAACAGAACTCTTCACCTAAACCACTAATCAAAATGTTGAAATATTTGGAACCCGAGAGTTGTGGGTTGTGGCAGCCCAATTAATGCCTCGCTCCATCAGTCGGCATGCTCGGTATGGCTTCTCCCACCCTATCTGGGAGAAAGGACACCTTCAGACCCGCTTGAGTCTCCTCAGTGGTAGCTACACCTCTAATTGTTTGTGTAGGTGTTTAAGAAAGAAGATAAAAACTAATGCGAAGTAATATGAAGTAAAAAGAAAAAGAAAAGAGAAAACAAAGAGAAAGTTAGACGCGCAAGGGGAAGCTTGAAAGATCTGGGAAGCCGCTGAAAACCCAGAAGCCATGCTCAAACTCTGGAGCCAAGCAAAAAATTAATCCAACTCATTGTGCAAGATGGAAACACAAGTCAGTGCAGCCACTGCAAAAGATTTGCCAGGTTTTTTTTTCTCCTGTATTCAGTTTTGCTCTGAGTGTAACCATCCCTCCACAGGTCTCCCCTGCCTTAGCCTTAAAGAATGTCCATTTCATGGTCTTCTTGCTGCTTTTACATTATTTAAGCTTATATTCCCCATGTTTACTCTCAAAGGGATGGTGAAATTTAGCCGGTTTTAAGCTTTCCTAGTTTGTCTGCTCCAGTGAAAATAAATCCCTGTTTTTAAGTCTTCCCTGCTTTCCCCCCCTCCATACTGTCAGCTTACTAACTTTTGTTTCATATGCTGATATCTCACGGCCATTTGTACCATCTGTCCCTTTTCTCTTAAGTGTGCCGGATAAAAGCCAATGATCCATTTTTGGATTCCTAATTATAATTGCCAAATGAGCAAATTAATGATGGGCCTCATGTGCTCACACACACAATGGTGCACAGGGGTGTGACGCAGCAGGCTCTTCCGTGAAAGGAGACGTGAGAAGTAGCAGCAACGGCCTGATGCGAGAGGAAGCCACTGCTGCCACCCCCTTTCCACGTGTTCACACACGGCAACCCTTGGTTTATCGTCCCTTCCCCCCCCCCCGGAAAGATCATGTGACACACACACACACACACACACACACCCCCCAAACAGATGATCAGCCCCCTAATTCTAAAGGGTTCCATCTTTGTTCATTTGGTAGAGGTTGCCAGCTAGTCAAATAATTACAGGATGCATTTTTAACTTCTGAATTTGTAACTCAAAAATATTTTGAATATCAAAAAAGGGGGATTACTGGGCAAATTTTGAATTTTGCATGTTCTACCTGAGTCACTGATTTTATGCTCTTGCCCAGTTTATCGAAACCGGCCTTTCCTTCCAAATTTCTTTCTTCAAATTCACCTGCACTGCAACTTCCTACTCGCAGTCAGATATAGCTGTCTTTCATCCAGAATCAATCATTCACTGATTTTTCTCTCTCTGCCCGAGGATGTTTTATCATTCTAGCAACAGGAGTCAAATTTTGCAAATCTGCTGGCACCTTGCAAAGGATAAATGTATTTTTCGATTTGTTTTCTTCTTGAATACAGGTAGTCCTTGACTTACGGCCACAACTGAGCCTAAAATTTCTGTTGTTAAGCAAGACGTTTGTTAAGTGAGTTTTGTCCCGTTTTGCAGCCTTTCTTGCCATAGTTCTTAAGTGAATCACCGTAGCTGGTAAGTTACTAACCCAGTTGTTAAGTGAACCTGGCTAGTCCCTTGACTTTGCTTGTCAGAAGGGCCCCAAAGGTGGTCACATGACTCTGGGACACACTGCAATCCCCGTCATAAATATGAACCAGTGGCCAAACGTCCGAATTTTGATCACATGATCATGGGAGAGGGGATGCTGCGAAGGTCATAACACTGAAAAGCCACCCTAAGTCACTTTTTTTCAATATCGTTTTGGACCGTGGTTGTTAAGCCAATCACTGCAATAAAGCGAATCGTGTGGTCCTTGATGACTCATAAATACACGCTGGTTTCCAAGCACACAAATTTTGATGACATTGCTGCTGTGACCCCCGTAAGCCTGAGGAATAGCTGCAAGACACTTTTTTAAGTGCCATTGTAACCTCAAACAGTCACTAAAGAAATGTAAGTTGAATGTGAGTTGTAAATTGAGAACTAGCTGTATACTGCCAATACCTTACCTTTTATCACTCTAAATTCTTTTACCACTCAATCCTACTGGCTTAAGATCAATCTAATGTAGACTCCAGATTACTAGTTTACAATTATTCTGCAGTTTTGCTCAAATGTTTTCAGGGTCTTTGCTGATCTTCGGTCCCCAGTTCCTTCTTGGTCTTGGCTTCTCTAGGCCTCCACCTCTTCACTTATTTTCAACATTGGAAGGGAGACATTTTCAGATAGGTGCCCCTGCTAATCCTGAGGCAAAGATTTCCCAGGATTCTTCCTTCCCCCAACTGTGGAAAGTTTTAAACCTGTTCCCAATTCTTGTTCAGGTTTTTAACAGGCCTTTAATTCAATATTAGGTGGACAACTTTCCAGATACTTAGTTCTTCAACTAATATGAAGTCTCAGCTAAGATTATCTCACAATTATTATTTGCTAAGAATGAAGCTTATTAGTCTCCAGCAATTGTTCGCTTTATTCAAGGACACATCTGAAGTGCAACTAAACTCCCAAATGTAAGACACCCTTTAATATTTAAATATCTTATTCAATTAAAGTAGGACATTCACACATCTAACCCACAAACAGAACAGCGGCTGCAACTTCAGATGATCATTGTACACACGGCCATCACTGCATGCTGCTGGCAACAATAAAGCAATCATATTGGGTTGTGTTTATGCTTTGTAAATAAACAAATTTAGAACAAAAACATCTTTCTGCAATTAAGTCTTAACCTGGATGTAATTCATTGTGAAGGGGACAAACCTGGGCCACTTTAACGGAATTCTGCGTAGACCCACCAGCATGATATTCTACCTTGAACTTTTCCACAAGTTCTTCAAATCTGAAAGAGATCACAAAGGGCGGGATAAGAAGAGAGAGGGAGAAAAAAGAGGTTACATTTCGTGATTCTATATATTTCAAAACTTCACGTTATGTGAGCATTTGAATTTAAGGCATCAATATAGCCAACAGTTCAGTAGGAAATTAACTCCAATATACTACTTGCTTTTACAAGGGACCAGGTCAGTGATGGCAAACCTTTTAGAGACCGAGTGCCCAAACTGCAATCCAAAACCCTCTTATGTATCGTCGGGTGCCGGGTGGGCGTGGCCCATTGGGTGGGCGTGGCTGCGGTGGTAACGGCAGACTGGGTGGGACTAAAAAAATCAATCAATCAATTCCAACTTTGCGAGATCTTTTTTTTTTCCGCGAAAAATTGAAATTGACTGATTGATTGAACCTTTTTTTTTTTTTACACACAGCGAAAAGGTTTATAAAACCCAGCTGAAGGCCTAGGACTGGGGCGACGGCACGTGTGCTCACAGAGCGGGCTCTGCATGCCACTTGTGGCACGCGTGCCATTGGTTTGCCACCATAGCATTAGGTTAAGCAAAAATACATAACTGATTGTAATTCTTTTGGGGGGGGGCAATTACTAATCTCCCTAACAGCAGGGTGCTATATGCCACTCTTACCTCAAGAGAAGAAAGTGGGTTATCAAAATAATGCTTTAAAAAGCATGAAATATTATCAGTAAACAATGCTCTCTGATTTCCACCTCTGTTTGGTAAATAAGTATCATTTTAAACTTCTTTAAATTCAGAAAAATATACAGAAATCTGACTTAAATATCTAGCACTGACAAATATTTATTTTAGACCAATTACTGTCAAATGTTTAATGTTAGAATCTCCCAACTTATTTATCTCAGAAATTTTACACAGCATTCAGGCAACTTTTAGGTAATAGCAAAAATGTGGCTTTTAAAACTGAGATTTTTATTTTTTAAAAAAACATGGATAAAGCTTGCTGACTTTACTAAAAAGAAAATAAAGTCTTTAAATCACAATCTTTAAAAGCTAATGTTTTAACCTTACTTTTGTACCCAAGTTACTTTTTTACATCTTGTTCCAATATTGCTTAAATGTAAACATATGTGGAAAATGTTCTTTTGGCATCTATTAAACTGACATTTAAGTCCACTTTTTTTCAACCCCTAACGTTTGTGGTAAAATATTTCAAAGCTATGAATCTTCGAAAATGCACAGGCAAATTGTCTCTTTCATATATAAACATCTGTTCTTCATAACATGGAGTCTGTTTAGAATTAGTGACTTCTGATTTAGTTGCTATTTGTTTAGAAGAAGTGGTTTTGGAAAATAAAGCGCTAGTTTGAGGTAATTTTATTTTGCAAATAATAAATACTTCTATAAGGAGTTGCCATTTTCATTCTATAAAAACATATAAACTTTCAATCTGTAGTACACACTTGACTCCTAATGCACTTATCTTCTAAGTGTGGCTAGTTGTAAGTCACACTTATTATTACCAAGGGCAGCGGGGAAAAGACTGTTGTTCAATTGCTTAATTTTTCCACTCGTTTCATTACTGGCAAAATATGTAATTAATGGCTGTTCAAAACCTTGGGGTCCGTGAGCCGTGCTCCCAGATAGAAGCACTCGGGGTATGCCGAACAGCTGATGGAGAACTTCGTAGCCCTGTTTTTGCTAATGATTTCCTTGGCTTGTCTTTGATGGCGACCACAGAATATTGCGGAGAAGGAGGAACGGGAGCAAAAGGCAGCCTCTTCACGCGCAGAGGCTGAATGGGCAGCCCAATTATCTCTGGTGGGCTGCCGGATTTCAGCCTCTCTGCTTATCCAGCCAACCTTCCTGTGTGCCTTTGCTAGCTCTCTCTTTACCTGCTGGTCTTGAATTATCCTGACTGAAACCCAAAACCTGAGGACAGTCTGGGTCACAGTCTGAAGGCCCCGTCTGCGGTAGGAGATGGAAATCAGTTCATTGCCATTTGCTTCTCAAAGCCCATTTTGGTTAAATATCTTGGATGTGGCACGTACTTATTCTTTGGGATGTTTTTATAGTTTCATTGCTTAAAAATTGATTTAACTGTTTTATAATTTTATAACTGTAAGTCGCTCAGAGTCCCTTAGCTGAGATGGGCAGCTATAGAAATCAAATCACATCAAATCAATCAATGTAGGAGAAGGAGTGGCAGATTCTGGAGGCCGGGTCAGAAGAGGAATCAGGGCTGTTTTGCTTTTATCATTGGGTTTTTGTTGTTGTTGTTGTTGTTGTTGTTGTTGTTATTGACTGCTCTTATTGTTGTACGTCACTCAGCTGCATTTCTGTGAGCTGATCGGCCATACACATCCTTAAATAAACAAATTAAGAAAATCAGACATTCTTGTTCTACGTCATGCTCTGCTAGAGGTTGCCTATGGACTCGGAGGTGGGACTCCTCCCAACAGTGGAGGCAATCCCAAGCAGATAATTCAGGACCCTCCCTGCATCATTATCAAAAGAGGCATTTTATTTCTTTGTTGGTTGTTTTGAGATCTCTCTCTGGAAACGTAGGCTCTTCCACAGGCCAGGCCCGTGTCCTTTTAAGACACACCTGCCGTTTATACTTTGAGGGCTCTAAAATTGACTTTAGGGTTAACTTTTTACTTTTGCATTCAGCCACTCTTTGATCCTTCTAGGACCAGAAGGAAAGCACTTGTCTGCTCTGCTACCTAGACACATCTTTTTTTTAAAAAAAAAAATGCTGCATCCAACAACAAAGATTTTACAATTTTTATAAGGCTCAATTGCCAGTCTTTATTGATCTGAATTGTGACAATTGGATAGGAAAAGTAGAGCAAGAGAATAAGAGAATGACACCTTCCCATTTCTGAAGACCCGATTCGGGAGGCAGCCCTTCAGGTGATGCAGAAGCCTATCCAGCTGGTGAAGCCTTGCCAACATCCTTCTGCCCCCCCTTCAGATGCTCCCCAAGGACCCCCCCCCCAAAGGCACCAATGGACAGAGAAGTAGAAAACCTGCTTTCTCCGGACTGACTGCCTCTCTGGCTTTCAGCCCCCCCCCCTCCTTCCTCCTTCCACAGGCCAACTTTGAATCACTCTCATCTCTCCTTTCTTATCTAGCCATCTCTCTCTCTTTCTCTCTTCCTCTCCCCATCATTTCAGAACCAGCTCCACCAGTCTGACACCAGCCTGCCAGGGAAGTCCCCCTGAAGGAAGATTCCTATGAGCCCTGATGCCCCAAGAAGGCTTGTTCCCCCCCAAAAAAATTCAAGAGAAGACCCAAGCCTTGGACACGGTTGAAGTCCCTGTCTTAAAATTCAGTCACATTAAAATACTCAGCAGCTTCTAACTCATTTTACTCATTTAAAATACTAGATACAATATTAAAAATGGTTCCAAAACCAGCCAGATTCAACCATGCAAACACAAGGGTTTCTCATAATTATATAATTTTTATTCTTTCGTTTCTCCATTATGTGAAAGGTTCATGTAGTAAACAGCTCCAAAGTGTTCTGAATTAGGTATTAAGAAGCAGTTTTTAATGGTTACATTGGATTTAGCCTTTGCTCTTTGTAACAAATGAATAAATTGAATGATGATGGATATCTTGTAACAAGAAAAGGTTATTTACTGAGTTTTTATATGAATTAAGTTTTATGTGAACATTTTAAAATGTCTTGAGAATGAATGAACTTAAATAAAGATGGAGGATAAATTTTCTATCCTGTCTTGAGATTTTGGAGGAAAACCAGAATATCTATTTATCTGTCTGTCTACCTAACAATCTGTTAAATGCCCCTATTAAACCTCATTGGGCTCCAGATACTTGAAGAAATGCCTTACAGTATTCCATGTTTTTAAGGATCCTGAAAGAAATAAGCTATAATTTAACCAGAGGGGGGGGGAGCGCCTTTAGTGCAGTGGTACCTCCATCCCAAATGCCTTCAGGCAAGGAAACTGACATCTATTTTTGTTCGTTCTCATCTGTTAATTTCATGTTAAATGAACACATAAAGGCATTTTTTAAATCTTAAGCTTCTGAAAGGAAATGTAAATTCATTTCCAACCAAATTGATTTCAACGTTGTTGTCTGCTTGCTGGCTGTATCCTAGGTGTTACCATTGTTTTATTAATATGGAACTGTTCTTATAAGTGCGCGCATAACGTCAATATGCGTCTTAATTCATCTTAATTACATCTGTGCAGAATACAGCAGATGTGATCTGCTGTGGTATTTCACTTCCAATGCTGGAGCTCATACAATTGTTAAAAGGGGGAAAAAACCCTCATACATTCTTAAAGGTAAAGCTTTCCCCTGTCCACCCGTGTCTGACCCTGGGGATGGTGCTCACCTCTGTGTCTCAGCCGAGGGAGCCACGGTTGTCCGAAGACTCTTCCGTGGTCGCGCGCAGGACTGCCTGCCGAGCCACATGGAGCGCTGTCCGCTCCCCACCAAAGTGGTACCTATTTATCTACCCTCATTTGCATGCTTTCAAACTGCGAGGTGGGCGGGAGCTGGTGCAAGTAAAGGGGGCTCACCCCGTCACTTGGCGCTCGGGTCTCAAACTGCCAACCTTCCAGTCAATGCGCCCGGGATTTTAACCGCCAGGTGCAGACACCTCCTGGGTCCAAGGATGCCTTTAAAGATCCTCCCTTGGCTCTACTTGGACCAGGGGTAGGCAACCTTGGCTCTTTTATGACTCGTGGACTTCAACTCCCAGAATTCCATGCTGGCTCAGGAATTCTGGGAGTTGAAGTCCACGAGTCATAAAAGAGCCAAGGTTGACTACCCCTGACCTAGACCGACCCTTTCCAGGGTGTCAAAAAATTTCACATCAAATCAAGTCCCGTCTCTGCAGACATATATTATAATTGAATGCTTAACATCAATATTCTTTCCTTAACCAACCAATCAACAGAGAAACAGACAGCTTCTGCTTTTATCCACCAACATTTTCTTAGGTCTGAGTTTAGAGGGGCATTTGGATCCTCCAGGCAATTCTTTCCCGTGGCCTTGC